TGCCACTTCCTTAACTGATTTCATTCGGTTGCCAAAACCTTTGTTCTTAGCCATTGTGGCGAGGGGGGGGGGGGGGGGGACTGCGATTGTCTCGGCGGCTGAAACACCACAATATGATTCCATAACTGCACGTTTCCCGTTTACTGGGGTTCCTTTTTCTTCTTCCTCGCATAATGTCGCTTCAATGTCTTCTATCACATGAGTCATTTTTCGTAGTTTCTCAACTCTCCCTTGAGACATGACTAAACATCTGTAAAATGCTTTTATTATGGTAGTTTCATCTTTGCTGCTATGTGATGTACTCTTCTCGCCTTCCTGTCTCTCACCTCCCGTATCGCTGTTTGAGTGTTTTACTGCTTCACGGGTCTATCAAGGAGTAATGTGATGTGGAGGTATGTGATTGATCCGTTCATCTTTTAGAACTACAAAAACATGTCTACATAGCAAACCAATCCTTGTGTACAATCGGCATGTGCAAGTTGTGTTGTTGCTCCCACCTTCAAGTACGACTGTGTATGTTTCCTCATTTCCATCCTCGACCACATATGTCTTCACCGCCTCACCTTCTTTGAATGAACGCACTCGACATGCATGATAACTCTCATGTAATTCGTCCAGAGGTAAGGAATTAAAAGGTTGTCTTGAGACCCTTGAATGGGTGATGGTGATACTAATAACACCATTGTTATGATTATAAGGTTGTGGAGATGGACGAGTCTCTAACTTACGAGGAAAAACCAGTAAAGATTCTTGATACCAAAACAAGGGAAACCCGAAGGAAAGTTGTGAAGCTTGTAAAGGTCTTGTGGTCTAACCACTTGACACAAGAAGCCACTTGGGAAGTAGAGGATGATATGAGAAATCGTTACCCGATGTTGTTCGATCAAGGTACTCGTCTAAGTTACGGGGACGTAACTTTTTTTTTTAGGGGGGTAGAATGTAACACCGCGTTGTTCTTTTAGTGTGTTAATTGCATCATTCCATTTTTGTGTATGAAACTCGAGTTTTAGTTTCTTGGTGAAGGTTTTAGTTTCTTGGTGAGGTTTAAGTTTCTTGGTGAGGTTGAGTTTGGGTTTCCCAGTTGCGAGGTTTCCCGATTCCCTTGTCCCTTGTTGCCTGATGGGTCTGCTTCGAGGACGAAGCATCTTTTAAGGGGGGTAGAGTGTGATACCCCAATTATTTGAGTATTTTAATTTGTTATAAATAAACTATTTAAAAAAAATACTACTATTATGTTATGGTTATTAATATTCCTAAACCCATAATACTTATATGATAATAATAAACTAATTTTTAAATCCTAAAACTAATATGTTTATATTATATTAAATAAACTTAACTTAAAGTTATAGTATATATAAACTAATATGTACAGCTTTAGTGTATATATATATATATATATATATATATATATATATATATACCTATGTTTATTAGATTAAGTTTGATATATATATGTTAGTTTATTAGATTAAGTTTGGAATATATATGTCTAGTCAGGATGTAGTTCAGTATGATATTAGTTCTTCCAAAAGGCTGAACCCCAACCCTAAGGGCCCCCCACATCCCGGCCCGACAGAGCGGTGGAAGGATATAAATCATAGTGACTCAACTGAACATTAATCACAGAGGCTAGACCGGTGGAGCATGTAGTTCATCTATTCGTAAGTTTAATTATATGTTTGTGGTAAAATTTCTATGATTATATGCTTATGTGATTTTCTGTGTTTATATGAACATTCAATTTGGTTAGAAGGAGAGTTTGCAGAGGAGCAAACGTAAGACTCGAGTCAAGTGTGTGGTTTGTTTTACGTATCCAGGTAAGTGCTTATGTCTATCAAAATTTACTTTTACTCTGTAAAGATGTGTATATTTTTCTTGTTTTTGTGGGCATATGAGATATGGTGATTTTGTGGTGATTAAAAAGGATAAATTTTACAGAATTTGATCATTTCCTGAGAAAATTCTGACTGGCGCAGCTAGAAAGAAAAATATGTGAAAATTGCTTCCTAAACTTCTTTTTGCTTGAACTTTTTTTTGGAGAACCTAGACTTGTTATAATTGATGTTTGTAAAAAATTTTGGTTAAAAATATATTTCGGTTTTTCCAGAAAAATTTCGTGAAGTTGAGGCAGTGTACTGCCAGTTTAGTTTCTGCCTGGCGCAGTGTTGGAAACTATTTCGGGAAAAATACTTCTAGACCTTGGATTGGCTTGAAAATTTTTGTGTGTAGTCTAGACTCTTTTTACTACTTATCTGGAAAATTTCATAGGAAAATGTGCTACCATTTTGTCTCAGTAAATTCTGCAATTCAGGTCATCGTTTCTGAAATTTTCTGCCAGTTTCTTATTTGAGATATTGAGAAGTTGCTTGCTTGTGAAATATCATTACTCTTATCATTTTTATAAATGTGGAGAATAAAAAGTTTTTGTTGGCTTGTATAGTGTCCAATTATGAATTCTGGATTGACCCAGTTTGTTGAGGAGTGAACAGTTGAAATATACTGATTCACTACGGAGTCTAAAAACTCCCTGTTATTGTGAGGAGTGAGCAGTAGAAACATATCCTGTCTCACTAGGACTTTTAGTCCTGTTGTTTTGAGGAGTGGTTAGCGGAGTCTACCACTAGGGTATTTACCCTGTTGAGTAGTAGTCAGTAGAAACGTATCCTGGCTACTAGGACTAGTTACTACCCATTGGGCTTGGAAACCCATTGGGGTGTGCACACTTAAGGTATTAGTTCTGTTCCACTTAAATGGGATTTTTGTATAGTGTTCAGTAGAGTGAGTACTGTTCACTAGGGCTTATTAAATAAGACCCTGCCCATTATTTGGTTGGTTTAAATGGGATTTTGCGTAGTGTTCAGTGGAGTGATCACCGTTCACTAGGGCTTAAGTAATTAAGACCCTGCCCATTATTTGGTTTGATATTCATCTATACTTCCTAAAAATGATTTCTTTTGGAAACGTGTAATTTGGAAAAGAATTGATTTGAAATCTTAAGTTGAGAAAACTAAATCTCTATGTGGAGTGTGATGTGAAGTAAGTGTTATGTGGAAGTTGATAATTGTTAAGCCTTGTGGCTAATTGTTTTGGATTGTGAATATATACTATATTAAACCCGTTTTACAGGATGGAGTAAACCTTACTTAGCAATGTTTTGCTAATTTTATTGTTTCGTGTTTCTCTTATTTGTGATTTGTGCAGGTGAATGAATAAGTTGTTGGCTGAGAGCGTGCGTTAGAACATAGTAGCTGTTTTGTTTATGATGTTTTGGAGTTATTGATTCGTATTGTATTTCTTTAGTTTTTGGATTAAGTTGTGATTGAATGTTATAGTTTAGAGCCTTACATCTAGTCAGTGTTGGATTAGATGTGGCGGTTTCACCCTCATTTATTATTAAGGACTTAAAGTTATTTTGTAAGTTGAATTATTACTTAGTTTCTAAACGGTGGTATGCGGACTTCAGGAATTCTATTCATGGCAGTTTCTATTTATATTAGTCTATTTATAGTATGTGTTGAGGATTAAATTTGGGGGTGTTACATATAACACCCGGCATATATTTCTTTCTGTACATCGTAAAAAACCTTCAATGTGTACACTAATGCAGCTTCTCGCTCTATACGCAGGTGGGTCTTAAAAGGTGGCGTCTGTTGGTTGCAAGCCGCGCTTAGTTCCAGATGTTTGTGTCGTTGGTTTCTAACTGCACTCTCATATCGGTTGAAACATTCCACAAAACATAAGTGCTTATTACTATTACTTTGAAAAATTTTGTTGTTCGATTCTGAACGGGAAGTCGTACGCAATAGGCCTCCCATAAACACATCTACAAAAAAACGCAGGCACTCATGGCGCACGCTCGTCATACATACGTTTCAGCCACCGGTTTTCGCGTAGGCCGTACTTTTCAATAACTCCATTCCACACAACCTCAAACTCTACGCTTGTCGACTTATCATTCCACACAACAACATTTAGGGCACGCCGAAACTCAATATTCTTTACCAACTCATTACCCACTTTATCACCGACCTTAGTCATTATATGCCACATACAATAACGATGGCGAGTCCTAGCAAACTCCTCTGCGATCGCTGCCTTCATAGCTGGGTCTTGATCCGTTATTGTTAAAGGTGGTGTACTTCCCATTGCATTCATGAAGTTTTTTAGGATCCAACGGTATGACTCCACGTATTCTCTATAAATTAGTCCCGCTCCAAATGTAACACATTTATTATGGTTGTCTACGCCATTGAATGGAACGAACACGAGTTTGTACCTGTTTCCACCATCAAACAATTATTACCCAAAGAACATAAATTACAAATTCCAAATAGTACTTAGCACACGCCATCGCATACCAATGCACACACCCAAAACCCCATATACACTAACCTGTAATTCTTTAAACACATTTTCTACAAATCAAAACATGCATGGATTCAGTCTCCCTCCAAATACCACCTTTGTTAATTCAATAAGATCTAAAATCCCAATACTGTTCCACGATGGCATTCTAAATACTGCAACTCAGTGGCTTGCACACGCCGTAACATGTAAATGCACACACCCCCACATATAATAAATCTGCGCACACCAACCTTAAAAAATAGGTTGCTAATCGCATGCTCGCACTTCCGTACATGTACGCACACACCATAACGCTTAACCACTCACTATATTCTCGCAAATATACCCCAACACTATCCACAATTTCTCAATACACAAGTGCTTATTAGTGCTACATACCTGTTTGTTTGGTACGTAGAATCAAATGACACAACATCTCCAAACGCACCATAGTTCTTTCGTGACACAACATCTGCCCAAAACACTTGAGCCAATTCGTCCTTCTCATTCATCTCGTATTCAAAGCACATATCTCCATCTTCGGCTTTCTTTTCAAGGTAATTTGATATTACCATCTGTGCGTCTCCCCCTTTCGTGTAAGCCAACATCTCTCTCTCTCTTGTAATTCTTGAAATTTTGTTTCGTAGCTCTCACATTATCGACTCCCCCAACCATCTCCGCATATAGGTCAAAACTCTTACTTCCCCAATGTTGACTTTTGCATAGTTTGATATGAATTGTTGATGTCCAATGTCTAGTCTCCTATTCACTTCCATGAAATGTTTGTAACTATCCTCGCACAAGCAGTGTGTGTGCCTTTCTTCAAATGCCTTAACTTCATATCTCCCTGCGCTGCCCAGCTTGAATACGATCCTAGCCAGGCACCCAACTTTGTTACTGGTATTCCGTCGTTTGCGTTCATTTGTTCCTCCAATAGCAGATTTTTCTGTACCCGTTGATATAGGGAGACAGGATTCATTCCAAACATGGTGCACATATATATACACACCCAAGTAACGAATGCATAACATCTTCATAGGGGGAAGCACAAATGGGGAAATGTGGATTTATATCCACCCTTTTTTCCAATTAAAGCGGACGAAGTAGGCAGAATACCTCAGATGGCTCTCCATAAAAAAGTTTTCCATCTAGGGGGATCTTCAATTTCTATAACGCAAACCATCAGTCAAACCCAGTCGTGTTAGGTATCTCACCAATAATATTTCTATACCCACTTTTAACAGAATAAATTCCATTTGGTTCCCTGTACCAGTACCAAGTGTCCTCATAAGCTGGGCACACCGAGACCCGAAGTATACGATTCACATCGTCAGCCACTAAAACATCTCTCAGAATGTCTAGATCCCATGACTGAGTATCCTGGTCAATCAAACCTGACACCTTTGATCCGTGCAACTCAGGGGGCATAATAGTTTGTATTTTAGAATCACCATTGAGAAGCCAAGGATGTTCCCAAATCAGCGTAGATTGTCCATCCCCTACTCTTATCCTTAGACCATTGCAAATCAGGTCATGTGTTGCCATAATACTCCTCCAACAAAAACTTGGGTTATTCCTTACAGAGGCATATGAGGTTTTTGGATAGTATCTTGCCTTATACACTCGTACTGCCAAAGATTCTGGGTTTGTGAAAAAGTGCCATGTCTGCTTACCCAACATAGCCAAATTGAAAGCACTGAGATCTTTAAACCCCAGACCACCAGCAGTCTTAGGCTTGCAGAGGCGGTCCCAAGCCATCCAATGTATCCCTCTGTTATTTGCGCCACTTTTAGCCCAATAATACATGTTCATAACTCTTTGAATGTCCATACAAATGGAATCAGTTAGCAAAAACACACTCATAGAAAAAGTTGGCATTGATTGTGCCACCGTTTTCAAGAGAATCTCTTTGCCTGCCCGGGACAACAATTTTTTATTCCATGATCCAATCCTTTGGGTTATTTTTTCCTCAATATAAGAAAATACATGTTTCTTGTTCCTTCCAACAAACGATGGGAGCCCCAAATACTTACCAAAGTCATTTGCCTGAACAACCCCCAGCACCACCACCACATCATCCATGTCACCTTTTCCGGTATTCTTACTGAAGCAAACACTAGACTTGTAAAAATTAATTATTTGGCCCGACAGTTGCTCATATTTAGTTAGGCACTGCTTTATCACACCTGCCTCCTGAGAATTTGCTTAAAAAAACAATAGACTATCATCTGCAAAGAAAAGATGGGATATCGTAGGGGCGCCCCTTGCTACACTACAACCATGAACAAGGCCCTGTGTTTGGGCATTATGTAGTAATAGGGACAGACCTTCAGCACATATAATAAAGAGGTACGGAGAGAGATGATCTCCCTGTCTCAGCCCCCGCGTTGGGGTGACCACACCACCTACTGATCCATTAACAAGCACATTATAGGAGACAGTTGTTAGACACAGCATAATTAGCTCAACCCATCTATCTGCAAAACCCAACACCAGCAACATGCGTCTTAGGAAAGACCATTCCATTTTATCATAAGCTTTAGCCATATCTAACTTCAGAGCCCCCCATCCTAACTTACCACATTGCTTTATATTCAAGAAGTGGCCAATTTCCGACGCAACAAGAATATTATCCGTTATTAGTCTATCAGGAATAAAAGCACTATGTGACTCTGAAATAATATTATCAAGTAGGGGTTTCATTCTGTTCGCAATCATTTTTTCCATTATTCTATAAACAACATTACATAGTGCTATTGGCCTCAAATCAGTAGCAAACTCATGAACTTTCTTTTTGGGGATTAACACAATATTAGACACATTTAAATCATCCGGGAAATGACCATTATTCAAACAGTAAAGCACAAACGTGGTGACCTCGCCTCCTACTATATCTCAAAAGTGCTGGTAAAAACCCAGGTTCATTCCATCCGGTCCCGGGGCCTTGTCCGAGAACATGGAAAAGAGAGCCCCTTTAACCTCATCCGCCACAAACGGTTTTAGCAAGGAATCATTTTGACAGTCAAACACACGAGGCAAAATCATCTCAAACCAATCATCATTAACAGGGGGATTTCCAGATTTAAAAATCTTGTCAAAATAATCAATAATCACAGCATTCATGGCACCTTTATCTACCCATCCCCATTTGATCCCTTCAATCTAGACAAAGAATTTTTACGTTTACGGGAAGAAGCATACCTATGGTAAAATTTGGTATTGGCATCCGCTCCCCGTAGCTAGTGCTGGTTTGCCCTTTGCCTCCAATACACATCCTCTTGGGCTTCCAACTGCGATAGCTGCGTCTCAATTGCACGATACTCCTCAAGAGAGAGTGGGTCAGTACTTCCCCTCAAGCCCATAAGCTTTGCTTGCAGGAGTTTAATTTGTTTGCCGAAAAGATGAAAGCGGTCACCACCCCATGCGTGTAACCGTTGCTTGCATAGCTCCAAACTGCCCATCAAACCATCCCCATCCCCATCAGACCAAGCCTCTTCCACCACCCCATAGCAGCCAGTATCCAGCAACCAGGCCATCTCAAAACGAAAACCATTGCGGCCTCCACCACCACGACGTCTCAAGTCCGCTAGCCCAAGAAAGAGAGCCGAATGGTCCGAAGTGCACATTAGAATATTGGTTACCCTGGCTTCTTCAATCATTCCACGCCAATCTGCCATGGCTACAACTCTGTCCAAACGCTCCTCCAACCAATCCTCCGTACCACTTCCTTTTTCCCAAGTATAGGGGTAACCATCCATGGGCATATGTAACAGACCACACTCATCTAGTGACTCCCCAAAACCGTGTAGGAGACCCTCTGGATGTGGATGCCGCCCCCCGCTTCTCAGATTGAAAGAGGAGATCATTGAAATCTCCAATAACAACCCATGGCAGCGTAGACTGCACCGATAACCTTGTCAACAATTCCCATGACTCCCTTCTCCTACTCCTCTCCGGGAAGCCATAATAACAGGTCATACGCCACGAGGCATAGCTATCAACTGTCACTTCCACATCCACATGATTCCTCGAGAAACTTATAAGTCGTGCCGTGTTATTATTCCTCCACAACAGTGCCAAACCACCACTCAGACCCACACAGTCAACATAGAACAGGCCTTTGAAACCAAGCTTTACACGTAACCTTTCTGCATGGTCACGTTTCACCTTAGTTTCCATTAAGAACACAAAGTCGGGCTTCTTACAGGACGCCATGTCCACAATTTCACGAACTATACGTGGATTACCCAAGTCATGACAGTTCCAGCTCAACGTACTCGTTGGGATGGGCGGGCCTGCGAAGCAGCACCCGCCGTGTACAAATTTTTTGGCACATCTGACATGGTCACATCAACACCCTTCGTGTAAATTTTATTTATTACATAAATTTAGTAAATTTATAAAAAAAATACATTTTATAAAATTCATAACTTAGTAACATTATAATTATAAAGTAAAAATTAAAGTATTACATATAAATTATATTAATGTTAAATAAATTATAATTATATTATAAACTAACACATTTACACTAATAAATATAAACTTATACCTCATTCAATTAATCTAAACCGCTATTTCTAAAATTCTAACTAAAAATAATTAATATACTTACACTATAATATAATATTAACAGTGAGTTTCTAATTTTTCATTATTTATTATTATAAAAATAATTTATTTTGTAATATATTAATTAAAATTTTATTTAAAAATGTAATAAAAATACTACAGATGAATTTACATATAAACTCAATGTATGTTATGTTCACATTCCTTCTATAATAAATAATAACTTTCAATAGTTCGGGTTATCGAGCTAGTCCTATCAGGCTGTCGGGCTTATCTGTTTCAGACTCATCGGGCTAATGTTTTTTATCATGCTAGCTCGGTCGGGCCATCGACCCAAGGTTTCGGTTTTACTAGGCCAGCCAATCGGGTTCAGACTAAGATTGACATCCCTAGTTTTCATTGGTCTCATAGAGACGTTGGTTCTCATAAGAACCTCACCGTGTGTGTGTGTGTGTGTGTGTGTGTGTGTGTGTGTGTGTGTGTATTTGCATTTGAACATAACGGATGCTACTGGTTTTAAGGAGGAGGACATATCACTATGGTTAGTGTTTTTTTTTTTTGTTTTTGTTTTTGGATTATGGAGTTTGAACCAAGTGGGAGAATGTAACGTTTTCCTTAATTACATTATTATAATATTAGGTTACTTATAATAATTAAGGTTATTTATTATATGGTGCAACACTTCCATTTAGGCTCTAATACCAACGGTAAACATATAAATCAAGTAGGAACACAAGTACATGATATACAATATTGTAATAAACTAATAATAACTAACTATAACCTCCAACTATAACTCCCGATTGACAAGGTTGAATAGTCACGGGACTGCTGTAGCAGAGTATTAATATGAGTTTCTCTCACTTCCGTTCGACTCTCTCTAGATGGTATATGATGAATGAATGTAAAATAGTGAGAGGAATGAGGTCCTTAAATAGTAACCATATGGCATCAATATGGTAATTGTATGCCTTTAATTTCCTAATCACACATCTTGCTTTTAATAAGTCTTACATTAATTAATAGAAGCCTGAATGGAGGTGTTGCACCGTATAATAAATAACCTTAATTATTATAACTTGTAACGTAATATATAATAATGTAATTGAGGAAAATTATTGCAGAAACGGACTCGGAGGCATTGGTTCAAGCTCTTAATAAAGAAACGGAGTCTAGACTGGAAGCCGATACTTTGATTAAGGACTGCAAGGTTATTATGGATCAATTCCGTGAGTGTGTGATCACCCATGTTTTAAGAGAAGGGAATCAATGTGTGGACTAGCTGCCCAACTTAGGGCAAGAAAGTAATTGAGGGACTACGGTTCTGGCTCACCCCCCGATGATGTGAGAGATATCTTGGAATGTGATGCTCACGATGTCGCCACTAGGAGGATTTATTAATTTCAGGGCCGTCTGGTCCATCTTCTTTCACCAAAAAAAAAAATGTAATTAAGAAAAATGTTACAAAAAAGAGTCATCCAAAGTCTGAGTCATCTAGAATGAGTTATTACGAACATACTTCTATTTTAGATTTTACCATTTAATGAACTATTTTGTTTTTCTTTTAATGAGCTCTACCAGGCATGCTTTACATGTTCCAATACTCAAATAGTCAAATTGAGATAGACAAAAATTCAAGTTCCATTCCTACTATATATCATTATCGATATACTCATTAATTGTAAAAAAGTGTGATCTTAAAAATAGAAACACCAAAATGTAGTGCTCCCGGGGAGTGCATTTTATCATCGTTTTCCATACGTGAAGAATGTGCACTTCTCTCGTCGGAGCAAATTAAACATGCAAAAGTCAACAACTGCCTTTTATAAAATCAAGGCTTTACAATAATAATGATGTAAAAAAGAAAACTAAAATGGAAATATCTTTAAAATTAATGGAAGTTGACGTTGGCCTGGTAAGTCAATCCCACGTTCCAATTTGATGGGACAACGTTGTACGCAACAATTGTCTCATGGGAGGAGTAGGAAGTGAGCTTGAAGGAAAGGGATTGGCCTCCTAATGTTCCAAATGCTTGGTATGAAGCTCCCCAGTTATGGCTCATCCTTATCCACCCTGTCCGACTTCCCTTCACCCACACGGCGGCGATATCGCCGCCTCCGCCCACGTTCATCACGTACGCCAACAGCCAGTACCCATTCCCTTGTAAGTTGAATCGGACACCACCCCTCCTACTGCACGGTACCCTACAAAAAAAAAAAAAAAACATACCAACATTATTTTATTATTTACCGTTATATATATATATATATATATATATATATATATATATATATATATATATATATATGATCACGTTCGAACCAACCTTAACCTGTGGATCTGCGAACTTCTGAAAGATTGCACTACAACTATTACATGATTGCACCGATACTGCTCACAGACATATTTGGAGGACCTTGGAGTGCGGTACAATCATGTAATAAGTGCCGTGCAATTCTTTAGATGTTTGCAATTTCACACGTTAAGGATAGTTCGCACCTGATTATGGACCTATACATATGAGTGAGATCAGAAGATGCGGACAGCTTGCTCCATGAGAACGTGTAGATGCACCGTCAAGCCATTATCTATGCACCTTAAAGCATTTTAAAATGCACTGAGGACTACCTGATTGATAATATTGTGCAATTGTAAACGCTTGACGGTGCATTTTAAGGATACTTGGCTATATCTAATATTGAAAATCATGAAAAGGAAAGGATGCACCATCAAGCAATTATCAATGCATCATAAAGCATTTCTAAATGCACTAGGCACTACCTCATTGACAACTCGGGTGCATTCAAAAAATGCTTTACGGTACATTTATAATTGCCTGATAGTGCATCTATCATCTGCACGTTCTCACCGGCTTGAAGGCTTGTCTGCACCAAAAGTCAACCATATATATGTATATACCTGCGGTACATGACAGGGACAATGCCGGCCTTCCACTGAGCAATTTTCATGAAAGCGGGTTTGGACATGTCGAAGTGGGTGCGAGGAGGGTTGCACCAGCCGCCGTTGTTGGAGTCTTCGGCCCAGTTAGGCGGACAGAGGTTGGTGGCCGTGACGGTGGTGGTGGGGAATCCTTTATAGCAATAAGGCGATTGAGCACAGCGTATCTGGAAACATTGGCCGCATGCAAACCCATTGTTGAATAAAACCGTGCTCAAAGCTGCCGTGGCTGTTCCATACCCATTGTTGAACAAGTTGCCATACCCACATGCACCCCCTGCAAATCCCAACATCCTCAATATACACATACACCTTTTAATACATATACAATTATGAGTAAGTATTTAAAATGGTCCATCAACTAGAGCATAAGTCACAAACTAATTTACAACTATTGATTGAATCCGGAGTGTTTGGTAAATAGCTGTTAATTGATTTGGATAGTGAGTTTAACTAGTTAATAACATTAGCTGATTATAGAAATATGTTTGGTAAATTGGTTATTAGCTGATTAATTACATGCAAAATGCTTTTTTCAAAAAGCTAATATGAAAGAACTACTTTGAATTTTAGGGTTTTGAAACAATAAGTTGTTACAAAATGCTAATTAATCAAACCTAATATTGATTGATAACCAAGTCAAACAATTAGTAGTAGTCAAATAAGTTAAAATTGACTGATAAGCTACCTATGTTACCAAACATGTTAAACTATTCAAAATTTACCTAATGATTAGATCCTCGACTATTGAATGAACTGGTTAAATCCTCAACTATTATTCAAAATTACTTGACTAGGTCTTCAAGGGAGTTGCTGAAATTATGCTTATGACCTCGGGTTTTATATTGGGACATTGACGGAGGATCTAACCAGATAAATTTTGAATAGTTGGAGATATAATTAAATTTTATCAATAGTTGATGATCTTGAGCAATTTGTGAATTATGCTACTGGAGAGACATTTTGAGTACTTACTCTACCATCATAAAATTTTGAGATACGCACCCATTGTTTCGGAGGCAGATTCGTCCCCGTAGAATGTGGCATGGGCTAGCTTCCAGGCGCCGGTGTGGAATACAGGTTGGCTATAATAGCCGGCCGCCGTCGCCTTGCCGATGACAGCCAGTACGCAGAAGAAAGCAAAGCTCAACCTCCGGAGGAAAGATGCCATAGGGGGCAGTGATTAGCTCTTGCAGAAGACTTTTGATGCTGGGAAATATAATCTGATGTGCTTATTTGACTTTTGCATGAAGCCTTTATATAAGGCTAAATTCCCCCTAGAAACAAGGTTGTCGTGCCCTCACGAATGTTGACTTTCGATGCATACTATATATAATGTTTTATATTTGCAATGCAGAATATTTTATCCAAACAGATTACCTACATATTCTAATCACCTTAGCTGAAACAAAAGTCAAATGATATGTTTTATTAGTATTAGTAAAGGGAAAATATTCTCATAGACGTGCATGCTGGTTATATATGTTGTCGGAATATGGATTACATTGATGAACGAGAAGCAGAGATGGAGCGAAGAAGAAAGATGATGAGATGATATGCTTCATTAAGAGAGATGGATATGGATACACTGGTTATAAGGGAAAAGGAATAGAAAAATAAAAAGGATGGGAGGATATTACATTTTTATCCTCCAACAGTACATAGTTTGGTTCCTCATCAAACTTCAAATTCACAACATATTCAACAAACTGCATGCTTAAAAAAAAACCAGGGCAGAAGCAACAGAACGTTTCTGGAGAAATAGACATCTTTTTCTTGCAGACAAGTAATCTTTGTTCTCATTGAGTCCACCAAGGATGGTGGACCTTCTTATGTCATCAACATGAAGCATCATTCTTCATCACAGGCCTCCAACTCAGCATAGGCCTTAGTGAATGCTTCCAACTGGTGAGATTCAAGATCCATCACAAGGTTGGGCTCATCAAACTGGATCCAAGAAGCACCAGCACCCTTCAGCTTCTTTCTTTCTTCTAGGATCCTCTTCTCTTCCTCCAGAGCAGCTTGCTGCTCTTCCTTGTTAAATTCATGGTACAACACCTTAATTGTAACAGTTCCTCTATCCTTCTTGTTTATCACCCTAAGCATATCCAGTTTTGGCAGCAATCTCAATTCAATTTCTTTTTCTGTCTCTGCTTCCAGCTCAATCAGAGGTAACTTAGCAATGCCCATACGTTCATCTTTCCCAACATTATCTTTATCAAAGACCTCAATGATAAGCGATTGCGTCTCTTTGTCTTCCGCAATCAATTCGAATATCTCATTCCAAACAGGATTTAGGTTGTTATCAATTATCTTTGTTTTAACTTTGAACAGTGGACGGATGAATACAACCACATATGGATCAGATTTTCCAATCATTTCCTGGTTCTTTGAGTCACTAGCCTTGATTATTGTTACTGTGAGCTTCCCCTGAGGCTTAAGCTCCAAATCACTTGTATCTACAGGAATGCCACCAATTGGAACAACAATCCTGTGAGGCCATTGTAGCATATCCGTGACAATTGATTCCACAGTATCATCAATCATATCAGATAGTCCAGGAATAGCTGTTAGACTTCCACCAACGGCCTTCAACACATAATCAATTCTCGGCTTTGGCTCAGCAAGTAAAGCAACAACAACAGCAGATATGCATGGAATTTCCTCAGATTTGAGACTCTCCACTGCAAACGAGACCCCCTTCTTCGCAGCCACTTCATGATCGAGTAGATACACTTGCCTTCTCTCTCTGCTTCTTAGCATCCGGCAACTCTCTCCATCCCCTTCTTCCAACTCTAATGAAATTTCATCAGAAATGTTGTGTTCTTCAGGGTATGATGAGTCTTCCGGAGCATAGGTTGACCTGCAGAATTTTTCACACATCGACGAACTATAATCGGAGAAATCCAAATCGGAACTCTCCTGGAGAATATCCGACTGAAGCTCAAGGTATGCCGACGAGTTGTCATCGAAAACCTCATTGTTTATAGACAACTTCAGCTCGATCGCACTTTCAAAAACTACAGAACTCGACTCCACACACGAACAACTATCTCTCTGAACGAATTTCCGATCGAGATACGCAACCGCTTTGGCTGGACCGGAGAACTGCTCCGTCAGATTAAGAATCGAAGAACTGCTTCGGAGAACTGCTCCGTCTTCTTCAAATTGAGAATCGGAGAACTGCTCCGTCTTCTTCAAATTGAGAATCTCATTCGGCAGATCAATTCCTTCCTTCCGCTGCGGAACGACTGTGGAGATCGCCGGGGAGATTCGAGTCTCCTTATCTTGTGGATTCCTCTGCGGAATCGTTGGTGATCGGCTACTCTGCGTAGCAATCGGTCGCGATGCGCGAACTATGGATTCATTGCTACTCTGCGCAGCAATCAGACTGGTGGTGTCGGCTTTGTTGCTACTCTCCGTAGCAATAAACCTCTGCGGTGCAGATTAATCGGACCTCTGCGGTTTGATCGGAGATGCGCGATGAACCTCTCTTTGATTCGGTTCTCCGGCGTCCATAGCAGCGGCGGCGTGGCTGCCTCGCCGCTCTGATACCATGTCGGAATATGGATTACATTGATGAACGAGAAGCAGAGATGGAGCGAAGAAGAAAGATGATGAGATGATATGCTTCATTAAGAGAGATGGATATGGATACACTGGTTATAAGGGAAAAGGAATAGAAAAATAAAAAGGATGGGAGGATATTACATTTTTATCCTCCAACATATGTCTGCTGTTGCATTTTTTACTTGGTATTTAAATTTTGATAGGAAGAATAGAACAATGAATCTAACCCAACATTAAGAAGCTAAGAAATTTGATCTGCATCTTTTTATATTGTCTGGTCGTCACCTCTAACTAACACTCACGGAAGTTTACAAATGGAAGTAATGCGATTTTATTCAGAACTTTGAGCAAAGGTATTTTTGAAGAATATACAAATCACAAAGCAAGTTAGCAACACATTGACACTACAATTCTTATATCATGATCAGAGGTGTACTTGAATCGTATATCATATAAGTCTCACAATTGCGGAAGAATAAGCCGAGGGTAAAAATAGCAATCGTTATACCCTACACCACGGCGCGCGTAGCACTGTGCACTGCGTGCCTCCCAAAACGATGTCGTTTTGGGCGGCGCGGTAGGAAGTTGTTGCGATTATGTATATTTGTTGATACAATTATGTATATTTGTTCATACAATTATGTATATTTTTTATACAATTATGTACACTTTTTTTATACAATTATGTACATCCGAATCAGGAAATTTTTGTGTATTATGTTAAGAGTTGATGTGTATTAGGTTAAAAGTTTATGTTTATTATGTATTATGTTAGATTATGTGTATTATCTTTTAAAAACAGTATGTATATTTTGTTATACAATTATGTACATTCATGTATACAATTATGTACATTCATGTATAACATTATGTACATTTTTGAACATGAGTTTTTTCTAAAGAAAAATTAACTGGCAAACACTGGGGCGGGAAATTTCAAAACAAAAAAAAAAAAAAAAAAAAAAAAGAAACGACGTCATTTTGCATCTGGGCGCATAATGCAACGCGCACCGTGGTGTAGGATATAAATTGCCGTAAAAATATGAAGACTACCTTGTTATGTATGCAGGGAACATTGTTAGGTCCAAAGAGTAAAGCATATAGTCAAGCCTACTTTGAGCATTTTACGTTGTTAGTGGAATCACCGCTGGATACTATAGTCCACGAGAAACTCTTAGTCCTGAATCTTCAAAGACTTAGAAGAATTTTATTGTAGCTTCAAGTACCTCAATGATGCAATCTTCAATGAACTAGATTCAGATCTAGTTTCCTTCGATTCAAGAACGAGTCCACGAACCTAAATCTAAAGTTGAAGAAAGGAAGATTGATTTGAGTCCACGAATCAATTTTCTAGTCGAGTCCACAAACTAACTACTAATTGAGTCCACAATTAGTCATAAAATTTCTTACACAAGTGTAAAGAAAAAACTTAATTAAGAATTTTATTGAATGAAAATCTTCTCAAAACTGTTATGGAAGTGTCCTATTTATAGGTATAGGGACAGCATTGTAATCCTAAATACAATGGGAAAAAGAGTGACATTTTAAGGAGTAATTCTCAACCAATGAAATTGCTCTAATATAACTTATTAAGACAAAATTATGTTCTTGTTGTAATGTTGTTGTTTGTGCCCGTTGGCCTATAGCTCCTAACCGGTGAGTTTCAGGATTGAATCAACAATAAGAAGTAATAGACAAAGAGAAGGGAGTGAGATGATTTCATTTCCATGGCTTCTTCTTACAAAAGGATTACACACATATATAATATAGAATAATAATGGCATACATAATGAGACATTAATATGCCTGTTACAAACGTTACAAAATAATGGCCACCATTAATATTTGATTACAACACTCCCCCTTGGACATTATTTGTCCATGATCTTGCCTCGTTAAAAACTTGCTAGGAAAACCCTGTGGGAAAAACCTATACAAGAAAAGAGTACAAGGTATAGTATATTTAAATATATTCATGCCTCGTTAAAAACTTCACTAGGAAAGGGAAAAACCTAGTTTGAAGAAAAGAGTGCATGATATTTGTAAACTCATATATTGTACTGATTGTCTCGTTAAAAACCTTAACTTAAGAAAACCTCGTGGAAAAAACTTAGTTAAGGGGAAAAAGAGCACAATTACAAGCCTTTAAGGCATAATCTTCAGGATATTTGGGGTTTGTTTACTTAAGTATTTATATACAACTTCCCCACTAATATATCATACTCATACCTCATTAAAAACCACATGGTATGTATATGCTGCAAAAAGTATAACTATTAGTCATTTTAAGACTCAATCTACAGGATTGACTCAATTGAATATATACGCTGCAAAAAGTGCAACTATTAGTCTTTTTAAGACCCAATTTACGGGATTGACTCGAGTTAATGTACTTCATGTCTCCCCCTGAAGATAACAATCTTCAAATTCTACATTGCCTGTAAAATCATCGTTTCTAAAGGGTGTAGAGAAGGGATATGGTACAATTTTCAGGATTGTCATTAGAATTTATCATATTTTCTCATGATTATCTGGACCAATAAAATTATTTATAGTTTATATTTCGTTGCTCCCCCTAAATATAATAATTTTTCTTTATCTACACATATCAATCTTATGGATATTTTGTAGGTATATATTTGCTAACTTGTCAATGGAGCAAACCTTCTGAACAAATATTTTATCACTCTTCTGGAATTCATGCGGATCAAGGTATTTTATATCATGAAAAACTATATACATTTTTATCTGTAACAAGTATGATGACTTCATGCCAAAAAGCATCAATACGAGTATTTGTACCTTGATTTACTATTCGTTATCTTCTCTCATAACTTAACATCATCAAGCTCTTTATATATTTCATTGATGTTTACACTATAAATATTGACTGAGATAATAAATAAGTCCATTATCAACTCTTTATTAAGCACATAATGGTACATATTATTCCTTCTATATAGGATAATAACCCCATTCGCAACTCTTTAAAGAGTAAATAATGACACTTAAATAAATCCTCATTTCGGGAATTATAAATTCATTAGGGATTTTTCAAGATGAACTAGAGGATATATTTAGGATATTTTCAAGAGGAAACAATATTTAAGTTTCCTAATCACATATAACATTACTAGGCATTTTTATGATAATATGTTTTCATAATTTGTTATGGGGGAGAAAATACCTTTAGTCAATTTATTGACTATAAGAAAGATCATAGTTAGTAACTTACTAACTTTTATACTTCTTATTTTGTGATTTTCATTCATCACATTTTGAAAAAATCCATCAAGGATTTTAAATATAAGTAACAAGTTACACATATAAATATGTGATAACTACAACTATTAGCTACATATCTAAATTATTTACTGCTAGTTTTATTGAATAGCGGAATATAAAACCATGACTAATATTGGGTTTCTGCGAAAAACCCTCACCTCACCTTTTATTAGAGAATTTTGATTTGTATGCCTTAATTGCTGTTTTCTATGAAAACAGTTAGCACGCTGCAACGTTATACTACTATTTTCATTTCTGGATCCAGATTTAAGTATTTATGAGCAATAGAGGCAAAATATGTTGTCGACAACTGTTACAGCTTTGTAAATATCTTTTATACACATGACAATTTTGTATCAACCAAATATATGGCATTTCCCAAGAGTATTTGGATTTGGTTGTTCCGCTTCCCCAGTATTTTAGTTATTTGGTGCACCTACAATTTTACTGGGGGTTTTCGCCTTCTAGACGAATATCTTCAGAATAAAATTTCTATATTTCTGGAGTGACGAAATTTCTATAATAGATCTAGTTTTGTAAATTCTTAAATCAATATATGCTTCTGGCATAATGGTAGAGATGTTTAGTCCTAGTTGGGGATTTCAACTCTTAAGATATTTTCTATGGACTTAGTCACTCCTTGGGATTTCTAGCAGATAATTTGTTCAATGTCTGAACTTCTGGTTCTATAAGGCTAGTACATGGGTTTGAAGATTTTTATCAATTTCTCGTCATTTAATTAATTAGAAATTTCAAATCTCCCCATAATACCGAGAAAAGATCTTATAATGCAACCAACATCACTGTTGATTTCTCATGATGGGTTATAGCTAGAAGGGTTGCATACTAAAAAAATTAAACGCAGATAGGGAAATGCATCATGTACGTATGTGATATGTAGTGGATCAGGATATTGGTTATTCAATTTTTGAAGGTCTCCAAAAAAATATTTCCTCCAAAAATGCTTAATTTGCTTTCCAAAAAAAAATGTCATAAATAATATGAGCAAAAATATGACCTGCATGCATGGAGCTAACATCTCGTAGTATGTTGATGAAATTAGACACCAAACATTCAAAAAAAAAAAAGTTCTGTCAAATTTTCACTTCTGGGGAAAGAGTAGCCACAACTCTCATAATATAAACCCGCTCCATATCATTGTTAAAATTTTGCTTGAGTGTAATTTTTTATATGGACAATAAAATTATATTTCTGGCTAAGTTCGAATGTCCACTTCTAGAGCATAGCCTATAGTCAGCATAATAAAAGCTTTTTATGCTATTAAAACAAAATATGCATATGAATCCATATAAAACAAATAAATTGCAAAATAATAGCAATTTAATCTATGGACATATTCAAGAATAAAATTCAAATAATAATTTGAATAATAATGTAATCACAACTCTTGAATAAAACAGGTACAAATGTCATAAAAAAAAAATTAAAGGAAGCCCATAATCCTTTTAATAAGATCTGATTTTAAGCCCAAAAAACCAATGACCCATTTATAATGTTTGGATCTGGGCTAAAAGGTCCAAATCCAGGTCCAATTAATAGAGCTAGGGTAAATCCTTCTACTCAAAAGTCAAAACCATCGTGGGTGATTTCCCATTTATTCGGGTACATAAATTTCAAATAATAATTTGAGAATTTGATTTGCTCATTAATAGGAGATTGATGAAAACAATACTAAAAAAAACGCATAATCGACGCACGCAATTCCCAACGTCGATCGCCCTTCCGCCTTCGTCAAATGCAGCGCGACCGCACACAATCAACGGAGCAGAGCCGGCGTCGACGTCGACGTCGCCGCCGTTCTTCCCTTCCGGAATACAACCGTCGACCGCACCAGGCAGAAAAAAAAACAGGGGTGGATCGGAGGAAGAAGAAGAAAAGGAACACAGGTTCCGATTTTTGTTTTTCATAATCCAGTTGAAAACATAGGATAGTATTTAAAAAAAAAAAAATCCTTGTTTTGTGGAATCAAAAGATTACCAATATCGAATTTTTGTTATATAATCTGGAAAATATTTCGTAAAATTTTCGTCTAAGGCCAAAAAGTTAACAGCTTGACCTATTGCTTTCTCAGAAAAAAAAAAAAAAAAAAACTTATTTTTCAGGAAATTTTTTTTGTATATTTCGAATTTTCTCAGACACAATAATTTCATAATGTGTAAATTATGTACTCAAAGCATACGGAAAGAATTTATATAACAGCTTGCAGATACCAACATTCAAAATTTACCAATACAAATTGCATGTATATTTCTGAGAATAGTAAAGCATATAGATTCCATATCAACAGGATTCCATCATGTAAATATGCAATAAGGCAATTTTAACGAATATGAATGTTAATTTATAAAATAAACATATCGTTCACCTAAAGATCATGCTGAGAAAAAACTTGTTTGAAGGTGTCGAAAAAAATCTGAGTTTGAGTAAATTTCGAAAAATTTGCTTTGAAAAACATTTGTCTTGTTTTTCTTTTTTTTCTTTCGACAGTTCAAAGCAAAAAATATCAATTTATGTTCATACATTTCAATGTGTATACAAAAATTGAGCAAACACAGTGCATAAACAAATATACATAGGATATGTATCATAGGATATAAACACATCACATATCAAACAATATCTGAAAGCATATAAACATCAAATAGATTGACTGAATTTCCAAAATAGAATTATGCATGAAATTTCTAGAATATAATTATTCAAATATGGACATACCGTTCACCGGGATTGAGCGGCTGATATCGTGTTGTAATGTTGTTGTTTGTGCCCGTTGGCTTATAACTCCTAACCGGTGAGTTTCAAGATTGAATCAACAATAAGAAGTAATAGACAAAGAGAAGGGAGTGAGATGATTTCATTTCCATGGCTTCTTCTTACAAAAGGATTACACACATATATAATATAGAATAATAATGGCATACATAATGAGACATTAATATGTCTGTTACAAACGTTACAAAATAATGGTCACCATTAATATTTAATTACATCAGTTCTTAATCCATGTTGCATTGATATTTCAATTGCCACTATTGCACGCAAAATTCATATTCTCGTTTGGGGCAAATTAGCTTACCGAAATTCTCCCTTATTCACACTGCTGGAAATCTCGCGTTTTCCGTCCAACAATAATTTGGTCGGAAATTTAATAAAAATCTCAACTTTACGCCAGTAAAGTTTTGTGGACGGAAGTTCCGTCCTACCTGGATGTTGGACGGAAGTTCCGTCCAACATATACTATTGGTCAATAAATTTGAAATGACTGGTAGGTGGGTAGTAAATGTGGTAGGTATTTTTTCCGTCCAACACACAACGTTGGACGGAAATAACAGTATTCATATCTGCCCTGCGTATTTCAGCTCACTTGTTTTCAACTTTCTTCTTCATTTCTCCCTTCTCTTGCTTCTTCATGGGTTCTTAACAACATAAAAAGTGATTTCCAACAAAGTGTATTCCAAATTCAGGTATGATTTGAGTATAATAGCTTTTACTTTGGGTTTGCATTTTTTTAAATAAATAAATAAATAAATAAATATAAATATATATATATATATATATATATATATATATATATATATATATATATATATATATATATATATATATATATATATATATATATATATATATATATATATATACTCTTGCAATGCTATTATATTTTTTTTATCATGCTTGTATATATGGATTAATATTAATTAATTATTAGTTCTCTAGTTTCCTAACCATTTTTATTAGATACATTATTAATTAAATTGACAAATGGTGATAATTATTAGATTAAATAATATTTAACTGTTATCTAACAAACTAACAGTATATAATCATTTTGTGATATAGATTAAACATTTTTATTAGATATATTTGTGATTTTGTGATATTTGTATTTTAATACTAGGTATATATGGAAAGTATACCAGAACATCGAAAATGGATGTATAATCGATTGTTACCTGGAAAGAGGGGAATCACTGATGAGTTTTTAGCTGGTGTTGAGCAATTTGTTAAGTATGCATGTACACTTTCTGTATACGAGTTGACAAATACAATTAGGTGTCCATGTAGTAAATGCAAGAATAGAGTACACTTATCTGCTGATGATGTCCGTGTTCACTTGTATAAGAAAGGATTTGAACCGTATTATTGGGTATGGACTTGTCATGGTGAACCTATTCCTACAGTAAACGAACAAGTTTTGGAGACACGTAACGAAAATAATCAATATGAAACAATGGTGTTTGATGTAGGTGGTTCATCATTTATTCCATTTCATGTGGAAAATAACCAAGAAGAAGAGTCACATACAAGTGCACAAAACTTTTATGATTTATTAAACACCGCTAGACAACCTTTGTCACCTAGTTGTGTTGATGAAACAAAGTTGTCATATGTGTTGAAGATGATGAATATAAAGGCAACTTTTAACATTTCACAGCTAGCAATGGATCAAATATTTGAGTACAATAAGCATATAATGGGTCCAAATAATCGAGTGCCATTTAGTTATTATGATTCAGAGAAATTGATTTCAAAGCTTGGGCTTGATCATGAAAAGATTGATTGTTGTGTTAATAGTTGTATGTTGTACTATAAGTCTGATATCAATGAGAGACATTGTAAGTTTTGTGGCGAGGCTCGATTTAAACCACGATCGCCTACTTGTGCTCGTGGGAAAGAAGTTCCTAAGAAAAGGATGCATTACTTGCCTCTCATCCTTAGATTACAACGATTGTATGCATCACAAAGTTCTGCTGAGCACATGAGGTGGCATTATGAAAATCGCCGTCAACCAGGTATTATGTGTCATCCTTCAGATGGTGAAGCGTGGAAACACTTTGATACTCAGTATCCCAACTTTGCAGCAAATCCTCGGAATGTAAGACTAGGTTTGTGTGCTGACGGGTTTTCTCCTTTTGATTTAAATGCTAAATCATATTCTTGTTGGCCGGTTATGGTTGTTCCATATAATCTTCCACCTTCAATGTGCATGACTACCCCGTATATATTCTTAACTTGTATTATTCCTGGGGAACACAACCCAAAGGCGAATATTGATGTGTATCTGCAACCTTTAATCGATGAGCTTCAGTTGCTATGGGATATAGGGGTTTTAACTTATGATGTCTCGTTAAAGCAAAACTTTATGATGCGAGCTATGTTGATGTGGACCATCAATGACTTTCCTGCCTATGGTATGTTATCTGGATGGCAAACAGCAGGAAAACTAGCATGCCCTTATTGCACTCATTATACTAAATCTTTCTATTTAAATAATGGGCGTAAAACATGTTGGTTTGATTGTCATCAACAATTTCTTCCAATGGATCACCCTTTTAAAAAAATTCGTGATTCCTTCTTAAAACATCGGGTAGAGAAATCAAGACCCCCAAGGATTTTGACAGGGGAAGAGTTGTTGCCTACTATTGAGATGTTGCCAAAAAATACTAATGGGCCAATCGGTCGACTTGAAGGGTTTGGATGTTCACATAATTGGAAGAAAAGAAGTATATTCGGGATTTACCATATTGGAAAGATAACCTCATCCGTCATAACCTTGATGTCATGCATATAGAGAAGAATGTGTTTGATAACATCTTCTACACAGTTATGGATGTTAAAGGAACTAGAAAAAATAAAGACAAACCTGCTGCTCGTTTGGATATAAAAGAGATATGTCATAGGCCACAACTCGAATTGGTGGAACATAATGGTCGATGTCTTATGCCGAAGGCGAGTTACAGTTTGAGCCAAGATCAGCAGATTGTTGTGTACGAGTGGTTAAGAACTCTAAAATTACCTGATGGGTTTTCTTCAAATATAAGTAACTGTGTTGATTCAAAGTGTTCAAAATTGTGTGGGATGAAAAGTCATGATTGTCACATTTTTATGCAATGTCTTCTGCCAAGTGCCTTTATGTTTTTGCCAAAATCACACTGGAAGGCTTTAGTTGAGTTAAGCAGATTTTTTCGAGATCTATGCTCAACTTCTCTCAGGGTTGACACGTTGAATGAAATGAATACTTCCATTGTCCTTATACTCTGTAAGTTAGAGCGTATTTTTCCGCCAGCGATGTTTGATTGCATGGAGCATTTACCTGTACACTTGGCTAATGAAGCACGTCTAGGTGGTCCAGTCCAATATCGTTGGATGTATCCATTTGAAAGGTTCATTAACCATCTCAAATCTAAAATGAAGAATAAGAGATATGTTGAAGGGTCGATATGTGATGCATACTTGATTGAAGAGACAACACATTTTGCATCATTTTACTTTGAAGATAATGTGCAAAGTAGGAGGACTCGGATTGGTCGAAATTTGAACGATGGTGGAATTGACCCTAACTTGCCGACAACTTTATCAATTTTTAATCGACCAGGCCGTCCAATCGGCGCGAAAGGTCAAAGATATTTGGACACTAAAGCGCTGTTCGTAGCTCATCAATATATATTGCTTAACTGTGAAGAGGTACAGCCAATTTTAAGGTATGCACTATGCCTTTATTTAAATGCATTGTTTGTATTGGACATTTTACAATTGTTTTCTTTGTAGGTTGTATGAGACAGGTTTACGGCAGTACAATCCGGGTGTCACTGATGAAGACATTGATAATGAAGTCGAAAAGAATTTTGCAAGCTGGTTTAAAGATTATGTAATATTATAAGAATAATATCCTTATATTTTTTATTTTTTATTTTTTGTAATTCATATATGCAATTAACTAATTTTAACTATTAAACATTGCAGGTTTACAATCCTGGAAATAATATTTGTGACCAATCGTTGATTGATTTGGCATGCGGCCCACTACTGCAAGCTAGTACATATAATGGGTATGTTGTTAATGGTTTTAAGTTTCAAACCAAAGAACATTGTGTTCGAAAGTCAACAAATAATTTTGGAGTGTCCATAAAGGGGACAAGTTTGTCACATGATGAATCATGTTTCTTCGGCACTTTGAAAGAGGTTGTTGAAATTGAGTACCCAAATATTTCATTGAAAAGGGTGGTGTTGTTTAATTGTGAATGGTTTGACCCAACTCCAAATACAGGTACCAAATTAGATTTTGATAGTGGTCTTATAGAGGTGAATTGTAGGGGACTGTATGGAAATAGCATGTACATACTTGTTCCTAACATGTATTTGGTGTATGGAAATAGCATGTACATACTTGTTCCTAACATGTATTTGGTGTATGGAAATAGCATGTACATACTTGTTCCTAACATGTATTTGGTGTATGGAAATAGCATGTTGTTGCAAGTACTATGAATATGACTATATTTTTGTTATAAATATTTTTTATGTTTAAATATATTTTCAATTTGAAATTTAGTGTGTTCATTGATTTGTTGGTGATATAATTTATTAATAGCAAGTAGAAATAAAATTATGATAATATAAAAATAATAAATGTATTTAATATGATTTAGGATTTTCCTACCAACAGTTGGAAGGAAATTTATAACATTTAGTACATGATATTTCCATCCAACAGTTCGTCAGAATTTCCGTCCAACAATTGGAAGGAAAACACGAAAGTATGATATGCTCATTTTCCGTCCAACGTTGGTCAGAATTTTTGACCAACAATAAATATTGGATGAAAATTTCCACATTTTAAATGGTGGGTTTTTATCAGGAATTTCAGTCCAATTTTTGTTCGTTGGACGCTATTTTCGACGAAATATTGTGGTTGGACGGAATTTTCGACAACGGATTTTCCGAACGTTCGTTTTGGACAGTATGTTGGACGGAAACGTCATTTCCGACCAATATATCGCGTTTTCCGTCCAACTGACGTTGGACGGAAAATGCGAGATTTCCAGCAGTGTCAGGCTAACATTGCCATAAGTCTGTACTCACCACACAATGACACTTTGTATATAGTTTAAATACATTTTTCCGATTTTTAATTTACAAATCATCACCAATTTATTACCTTCATCTCCATCACTTCTTTACTCTATTTCCTCACTTATGTAATATTCATTACATTCTTACTCATTTATCAAAATCTTATCATTTTCTAATCGGAACCCAATCATATTAATCAACATCATCACATCAAGTCTCATCTCCCTAATTAACCAATTCAAGACCACATTATCCCAAAACCCTATTTTATATTATGATCTAGGAATCTACTCACACATCCTAAGAAATGAATGACAATGAATTTAACAATAAAAGCACAATCCCTATATCCATCATAAGCACAAGACAATAAAGCAGTTTGATCAAAACAAAATACAAAAGTCCAAGGAATGTAAAGGAAGAAAACTTCTCTATAAAGGATGAAATTCTTCAAATCTTGAATCCAAAAGTGCAATAGAATGTAAAACTTGTAATTGGAAATTGAATCTAACAAGTATTAAAATCTATATAGTCTAAAGTGTTTGGAATTTGTAAAGGAAAAAGAGCTCCAAAGCTATACAGTATAAGGAAAAACCTAGAAAGAACAAAAGCTCATTTCAAAATTCTAACTCTCCCCTTTTATAGTTTGTGGATGGCAAATTATGGTCCACACAACTATGTGAACGACGGTCCAAAACGACGTTGTTGAATTTTATGATTTAGAATAATGCACTTTATGTGTTATAATAATGTACATAATGTGTTAGAATAATGCACATTATGTGTTAGAATAATGAAACTTATGGGTTCTGGGGTAAGATAATGTACTTTATGAGTTAGAATAATGTATATTATGAGTTATAAAAATGTATGTTGCAGTGGATCACGTGAAAAAAAAATTACGCGAAATGACGTCGTTTTTGGACCGTGGTCCACACAGCTATTTGGACCACAGGCCACACAATAACTATTGTTCATGGATACACCTGAGTTCTCGTTACGTGCGTAACTCGCCTCATAACAACATATCCAGGATTCTGATGATTGTTTCTACGTGAACAATTACGAGCGTAATGTCACTCATAGTAATAGAGATGAGGTTCTGATGCTCCTTGCTACGAGACCCACTACAAGCGTTACTTTATTCATAGTAACATAACTTACCTTCTGATGCTCCTTGCTACAAACCAAGTAACAAGTGTAATAGCGCTTGTAATATCAAAATTGAGTTTTTGATCACGAGTACTATGAGTCGAGTTACGAGCATAATGGAGCTCGTAATAGTATACTTCA